CATCTTGTACAGCAATTAACCACTAGGAAGAATGTATGCAATGTGTGAATTACTGAAACTGTCCTACCAATTTGATTTGAAAATGTCTCATTGCTATTTGTTTATCAATAAAAATATGGGAAAAAATAAAATTAAAAAAAAGAAGATCTGGGCCAGATTAGCAATGTTTCCATCCATAACTGCCTGGCAGGCTAAAGAGTATACGCTCATTTCACAGCTAAGGGAATTGAAGTCCACAGACTCAGAATGTGATGGCCAAATTGTGAATTAAGGAACCATGAGATCACAGAGACGCTGTCTGAGAGTCTACCAGGTGGAAACTATTTTGATAGTTATGGTGGTACATTATTTACCTTTTTCATTGTGTCAGCATTTGCAATAGATGTTGGTGGGTTCCCACCATTCCATAACTTGTAAGAGTGGCTCAGTGGGTTCAAACTGCCTTATGCAAACACCATGGTTCATGCTGAACACCTGCTTTCCTTCTGTGAGCCAGGAATATTGGCATACGCTAGGCGGAGGGTATCTCTGTGAATGACTCATGATAGAAATCCTGGAGTCCAAGGTTTGGGTAAGCTTTTCTCATAGACAAAAAGGTGTTTAATTGATCAATACTATTTATTACTGAAGGAATTGTGTTGTATGTGACTCCACTGGGATAGAACTCCTAAAAACTTGTTTTCTTTTGCACCATAAATCTTTTCCCTTTGCTGATTTTACTTTGTGTGCTTTTGTTATACTAAATCAGAGCTGTGAGTACAATTATACAGTGAATCCTGTGAGTCTTCCCAGAAAATTACCTCATGCTTGGAGTGCCTATCATTCTGGTCTTCTGAATATGGGCTGCTTGTCATGACATGCCAGTTGCTGCTATGATGTCTCTCAGGTAGATGGTTGTTCAAGAAGAAGGGGGTGGTGAATGAAAGCAAGAGACGGGAAAAGGAATAATGTGGAACTGTCCAAACCTGGGGGTGGTGCTGGGAACCCCGACACACTAAATGAACTCCAAATAGGATAACCCCCTAAAACCTATGCCATGATATATCATATTAAAATTCTGAAAACTAAATATGACAAAAGAATTTTGAAGTCTGAGAAATACATGTTGCGCAGTTATGGTCTCAAGAAAAACCAGTTGGTATGACTTGGATTTCTCATCTAAAACCACAGAAGTCAGAAGTGGCACAATAACTTTCAAGTGCTAAAAGAAAAGAGCTGCCAGCCCCAAATTATATGATGGGTTTAATAATTATTTAGGAGTGAAATAAATGAATACTTAGGTGGGGGAGCGTGATCAATCATGTCAAAATGAAACCCACTCTCCTGTATAACCAGTATGCACCAAAACAACAATGGGGAAAGGCCATATTTGGATAAAAGGAAATCCAAAAGAATTTCTAGCTGGCAGACCTGCATTAAAGACTGGATAACAAAAGCTCTTCAGTGAGATAGGACATGGTAAAAGAAGAAATCTTGAAGCATCAAGAAGGAGGAAGAAACTACAGAAGAGTAGATTTATGAGTACATAAAATAGATTTATATTTGATGATAGATACTTATATTGGAAGAGTGAAAAATAAGGAAAACATCTGATCCCAAAGCAAGGATACTTAAACGTGGGGAAAGTCAGGCTACCTAAAGGGAAGGAAGCAGTCCACATTTCACTCAGTGGTAAAATGGTGGATTAATGGTATCAACAGGCCAGCATCACTTGTGTACACTGCAGTCTCCAGAGTCACCACTATGGAAACTAGAGAAAAAGAGACACTCCAAAACACAATAAACCTGTCCAGATGAAATCTTTAAAATTTTTATAATAACCAACAAGAAGGGAAAAAAAGAGAAACAGAGAACTGAACCATAGGAAACAGAAAACAAATCATAAAATGGTAGAGGTAAGTGCTAGTGATTGCCTTAAATGCAACTGCCTGCTTACACCAATTAACCCAGCCCAGGGAGGACAGCAGGTAACAAAGTGCACACACCTACCGTGAGGTTTCCTAGAGGCTGTCCCCTGCAGGTCTGAGGAGCTGTTCTGCTCCTGGTGGGGGGCTTTGCCTGGGGACCTGTCGTTGCTTGGCTCAGGACCCTGAACTGTGTGGCTTGCAGATGGCTGGCTTCTTGGGTCCCTGTTCTGCCTGCTGGTCTCATCATGGGGACGGAGAAGACAGGGAAAGGCTTGTGGTCTATGGGAACTTGGGCTCAACCATCCTTTCTGCTGCTCTGCCTCTTTCCGCTTATTTTCTTCTTCCCGCTTTCTGGAAGCCAAGCAAAAGAGGAGAAAAAAGTTTAAAGCATCCCACTTGCTCAGGTGTCCTTGGGTTGGGCTGAAATTTTAGGAGGAGCTTCCATATCACAGGAGGGGTTTAGAAATTCACATGTTCCAGCAGTGGTCTTTTCTCCAGATATAAGAGAAATCCTCCCGTTTTACACCAATGGTATAGAGTTAATGAAACCAAAAAGAAAGCTACGGATTAATCTTCATATTACTGAGACATATCTTACAGATTGCCATGCTACTTTACTTGAGACAACATCTTGCCAGGGTGTGTCCCACGCATGTGTGTGACCCTAGAACTACCTGAAACACCACGCTTTTTGTCCTGTTTCATTCTCACAGCCGAATGCAACGAAGAGTAGTCACGGGCATGACTTTGAACCTGTGACACTTACTGAAAAAGACCATCGGCAAACCTTAATGATTACATGAAAAACTTAATTGTAAAGGACCTCACAATTGATTAAAACCATGCCTAAGGGGGCCAGCAAGATAGCTCATTAGACTAAAGTAACTTCTTAGGCAAGGTAAGCACAAGAACCATGGTTGGATGGGCTGAGCCAGCCAGAGCGTGGGTACAGTGGGACACACCTATAATCCCAGTGCTGGGGAGGCTGAAAGCAGGAGGATTACCATGAGTCTAAACTGCATAGTGAGACCCTGCAACAACCAAATACATTAAAAAAAA